TATCTTAAAAGTGTTTGGATATTCATATTTTAAACATGTACTTGAACAGAGTAGTATTTTCCAAATACCACATATATGGTTAGATACTATGATTATTTCATGCCCAACTTTTTTTATTTTTACCTGACTCAAAACTTTTTTTGAAAAATATAGATCTTTAAATTATCGAGAATAAAAACACACTTTATTTTTCAATTTAAATTCAAGATTATGAGGGCATATTTTTATTTTAGTAGTTAAACTAACTCAAATAAAATATTATAAATTTCCTAAAGATGCCAAACAATGTTCTAATCTCATAGCATTGAATTATACCTGAAATAACTAGAGAGTAGTAGCTTCTTGTAATATTATCATTACTTAAGAATTTTGTCTATGAGGACACATATATTTTATGTACTTAGATTTCTGGTATTAAATCACTTGTTTTGTGACAATTACATAAAACGATCGATGCGGAAAAACATATTTTTATGTATCTTCTCCCGCATATAAATTTATATAAACGTAAAACGTATAAAATCTTTAATTTCTCAAATAAAAAAACTATCCCTTATGCGTCATATGGGATTTGAATAACATTGCGAAAATGATTGTTTAGATGCCCTGGTAGTAGTGTGAAAGTGGCGGCCTCAGCCTGGCAATTAGGCCACAAGTGGGCCCTTTTTGCCTACCCAGCTATCCCATCACCTATCCACTGTCTACCAGAGGTAGACTCTCCTCGAACCTTCCTGACGCCCTGATGACCGCCAGGATTTTGGTCCATGGCAGATCCCTCACCTTAACCCCTTGTAGCTCTTCAGTACTAAAAACTTTATGTCGTAACCTCCCAAAAGCTGCACAGTGTCCCAGACGATGGATAGGGGTATCTTCTCCTTTTCCACATTTCGGGCATAAGTGTCCTCAATTTCTAACTTAAATGCCTCTTAAGTCTGCAATGGCCTGTGAGAACCCCCACCATTTGGTTTAGTCGTCATCTCGTCTTAGGTTTGTCGTTGGCCATCTCGACTTAGGTTTGTTAGGTTAAAGCTATGGGCCTGCCTACATCCTCTGTTCATCCTCCAGTTTTGACCTAATGTTTGATAGGCCCATTGATTAAGGGCCCCGTTAATACTACCTCGTGTGAGTCCTAGGATTTGTTTTCTAGAGCGTTTCCGCATTCCTGAACGAGGGCAGACCTTATCCTCGGGGAGCTAAATGCTCTGAGCGCGGTCTGACTATCGGGGCAGATAAAAATCCTCTACTCCACACAGTTCCTTACTTGCCTCCATCAAGATCAAGATAGCGAAAACCTCAGCCTGAAAGACTGTGGCATACATACCCAGTGAAAAGCTATCCTGCTGCTTCTGCATACATACCCAGTGAAAAGCTATCCTGCTGCTTCTGAATACTCATCTCTTACCCAAGATTCATCAGTATAGCATACTAGAGATCCCGGGGAAAACATGTCACTTTCCTGCTCTCTCGAGGGGAAGGTGGTGACATACTTCCTTTCTAACCTCAGCCAGTCCTCTGCTTCCGTGTCCCTCATGGCAGATATTGGGATATCTCTCTACACCCTTAGGGCCATGGCAGAGTGACCCTCTGCGCGTCCTTTCGCTCTCCAACCGCCTGTGTCCCGTATCCATAGGTGTGTCGCCATCATTTCCCTTACAATTCATATACGGTAAGCCGGCAACCCCAGAAGGACCTCTAACTCAGCCGTTGGGGTCGTCCCAATTGCCCTTGTAAAACCTAAGCAGGCAACTCTTTGGATTCTCGATAACTTCCCGTCATTCAGACCACACTTGGCCACCAATCCAAGGCCCCATACTGCAGCTTCGATCGTGTACACCCAGTGAAGCACCCTTGGATTGAGCCCCTAATTTTTGCTAATGATTTCCGGGTAATCCTTTCAACCTGTGGCTACCAAGACAATTTGCTATCCAGGATTACAAACAAATATTTGAGTTCCCTGACCAACGTCAGGGACCTTCCGTACATGGCAGGGACCCTGAAGTTGCCTATCTCCCTTCTCCTGAATGGGATCATCTCTGTTTTCCTAAATCTAAGTTTAAAATATGAACAATATATCTCAAAAGATATCCCATAAAATTTCATACCGCCTTTCTTTTTTGAAAGAAAATTATATAAAAAGTTACATTTAAAAAGCCAACTTTAATTTATTTTATTTCTTAGTAAAAAAGCTCTTGGTAGAGCTCGGGGTTCGGTCGGATGATCATAGCCGTCGCATCGGCCTTTCGCTACAGCGCATCGTACGAAACCGGTAACAGCAGTTATTGGCTTCGCGTTTGCGTGTGTATACGTGTTTTAATATTCTAATAATGTCGAACGCGCCAAGGGGTAAAAAACGACCTTTCGCTGATAAAGTACCCACATTTATTTATTTTTATTTATACCTACCTGTTTATTTATTTGTTTACGACGAACACACCTATGACTAACCGACGAAAACCCAGAGCTCTAGTTTTAATTTACATAAATATTGAAATTATATGTTTATCAAGTTGTCTTAAAAAAAATACAAAGGTTCACGAAACCGCCTTCGTTGTGCGAAATATTCTGATATGTGAGTATACAGAATATTCACTTGTACGTTTTTGGCACCATTTCTGACTTTATTAATACATATCATACAAAGTTGTGATTTTTAAAAATAAGTTTTAAAATTTATTTACGATTGTAATTTTATTTTTGGGCACCAACTGAGTATTTTTGGGTAAAGCATATTTGAAAATCATTATTTGCACATCTGGAGGAAGTCATAGGGCAAAGAAAAACCATTTACAGTCAATCAATCCAAGGAAAACGCGCTTTTTAGAGACCAATAATATTTTAGCATGATCTAAAATTAAATTATCTCGACGGTCCAAGTCAGAAGTTATATGTTTAGTAACTCAACCTATGGTTAGTTTTGTTGCAACTTTTATTAAAAGATGATGTATCTCGGCAGTACTGGCATCTCCCAGTTCTCATAAAAATGTTTTCGACTCACTTAAATGAAAATAAAGCGTGAGCAATTATAATTCCTGTACTCGAATTAGTGCTGTTGTGCAAATATACTGTGCTATTAACACGAAGTGGATATTTAAGTTAATTTAGTTGATAATTAATTGAATTAGGAATATTTTAATCGCAACTCACTTAAAATGCTGGTAAGTTGATTCATAATATCTAATAAAAATAGTTTTAGTTATTCAATACAACAAAAATATTCGCAATGTGATTGAAATTTTTAGAAAATCGAATATTTCGATTTAATCAGAAATAATCGCACTCAACAATTATTTTTTTTATTATTAGGCGATAAGAAAAATAGTCTTGAGATTTGAAGCAATAATTACACGAACAATAAGTTTTCTTATTAAAAATTTTGAAGTTAGTCGTGTTAAACTGAAACAACAAAATTGTAATGTAAATATCTGGAGGTATGCCCTCTCATTTCTAAATAAATTTATGGCTTTTAATTATTACGAATATTATTGCAAAGAAACCTTCATTTTAAATTTATATTTAAGTCGACAACTGTTTTAATAAAATTGGTGTGATGCTATATATAATAGCTTCTAGAGGTTAACCGATGTGTTATTAAGGGCGCCATATTCTTTAAATAGTGTTTTCCGCAAAGACAAATAATTTCAAACATTTAATAACTGAATAATCTAAAGCTTATCAAGTAATAGGAATATTATGTCATGCCACCTGAGTATTTTCAAATATGTCGCAGTAAAACGAATAAAGAGGTGCAAAAAACGACAAACCATCAAGGTTTTAGCTACTGAAATCTACGAAAATACTAACTTTTTTATATATAACTCCACATGTAAATATTCTTATAACATTTACTTGCATATCATATTGTTTATTTTTATTTATAAATACCTAAAAACGCCAGAAATATGACTATTTCACGGCCAGAGATATGGTCACCTTAAATGTAAACAGTATGTTTGATGGATTAAGTCTTACTTATAATTTTTCTCAATATTTTAATATACAGGGTNTTTTATTGAAATCGGTCAGAAATAAAATTATCTATGTATCTAGGGAATTAATGAGCCTTAATAACCTCAGGCAATTGCTGTCCCTCGGGCCGGACGCTCTCGGGACGCAAACTTTGCCATCGGTAATTAAGGCCCTTATAATTCCCTAGATACATAAATAACTATTATTTCTTAGTAAAAAAGCTCTTGGTAGAGCTCGGGGTTCGGTCGGACGATCATAGCCGTCGCGTCGGCCTTTCGGTACAGCGCATCGTACGAAACCAGTAATAACGGCAGTTATTGGCTTCGCGTTTGAGTGTGTATACGTGTTTTAATATTCTAATAATGTCGAACGCGGCAAAGGCTAAAAAATGACCTTTCGCTGATAAAGTACCCAAATTTATTTATTTTTATCTATACCTACCTGTTTATTTATTTGTTTACGACGAACACACCTATGGCTAACCGACGAAAACCCAGAGCTCTAGTTATAATTTACATAAATATTGAAATTATATGTTTATCAAGTTGTCTTTTAAAAAAAATTACAAAGGTTCACGAAACCGCCTTCGTTGTGCGAAATATTCTGATATGTGAGTATAGAAATTCCAATACCATTTAAAATTAGTTATTATTATTATTATATACAAAAAACGATTTACCCAATACAGAATATTCACTTGTACGTTTTTGGCACCATTTCTGACTTTATTAATACATATCATACAAAGTTGTGATTTTTAAAAATAAGTTTTAAAATTTATTTACGATTGTAATTTTATTTTTGGGCACCAACTGAGTATTTTTGGGTAAAGCATATTTGAAAATCATTATTTGCACATCTGGAGGAAGTCATAGGGCAAAGAAAAACCATTTACACTCAATCAATCCAAGGAAAACGCGCTTTTTAGAGACCAATAATATTTTAGCATGATCTAAAATTAAATTATCTCGACGGTCCAAGTCAGAAGTTATATGTTTAGTAACTCAACCTATGGTTAGTTTTGTTGCAACTTTTATTAAAAGATGATGTATCTCGGCAGTACTGGCATCTCCCAGTTCTCATAAAAATGTTTTCGACTCACTTAAATGAAAATAAAGCGTGAGCAATTATAATTCCTGTACTCGAATTAGTGCTGTTGTGCAAATATACTGTGCTATTAACACGAAGTGGATATTTAAGTTAATTTAGTTGATAATTAATTGAATTAGGAATATTTTAATCGCAACTCACTTAAAATGCTGGTAAGTTGATTCATAATATCTAATAAAAATAGTTTTAGTTATTCAATACAACAAAAATATTCTCAATGTGATTGAAATTTTTAGAAAATCGAATATTTCGATTTAATCAGAAATAATCGCACTCAACAATTATTTTTTTTATTATTAGGCGATAAGAAAAATAGTCTTGAGATTTGAAGCAATAATTACACGAACAATAAGTTTTCTTATTAAAAATTTTGAAGTTAGTCGTGTTAAACTGAAACAACAAAATTGTGATGTAAATATCTCAAGATATGCCGTCTCATTTCTAAATATATTTATGGCTTTTAATTATTACGAATATTATTGCAAAGAAACCTTCATTTTAAATTTATATTTAAGTCAACAACTGTTTTAATAAAATTGGTGTGATGCTATATATAATAGCTTCTAGAGGTTAACCGATGTGTTATTAAGGGCGCCATATTCTTTAAATAGTGTTTTCCGCAAAGACAAATAATTTCAAACATTTAATAACTGAATAATCTAAAGCTTATCAAGTAATAGGAATATTATGTCATGCCACCTGAGTATTTTCAAATATGTCGCAGTAAAACGAATAAAGAGGTGCAAAAAACGACAAACCATCAAGGTTTTAGCTACTGAAATCTACGAAAATACTAACTTTTTTATATATAACTCCACATGTAAATATTCTTATAACATTTACTTGCATATCATATTGTTTATTTTTATTTATAAATACCTAAAAACGCCAGAAATATGACTATTTCACGGCCAGAGATATGGTCACCTTAAATGTAAACAGTATGTTTGATGGATTAAGTCTTACTTATAATTTTTCTCAATATTTTAATATACAGGGTGTCCCGGTACTTGATACAAAAAAGTCCAGTACAAAGAGATGAGGAAATAATATCAATTCTTCATATACATTTTTCTCATACGGACCTCCGTTAACGGGCCCCCAAAGGTGAAAATTAAAAAGGTATTTTTATTTACAGTCTCTAAACTATTAACTTCAGCATAATGCAAATTTTGTGATCGATAACACATGCGTTCAGCTTGTTTCTGATGTTGTAAGTGATACGTCATTATGCCCAGAACTCCAGAGACGAACTAAGCCCAATGGTTAACAAACCAGAATTTTTGCATAGATGACGATCGCAGTTTGCCTGTATCAAAATTAAGTTCCCTGAAGAATTTGCCAACGATAATACCCTCTTGGTTCGACTGGTAAAATTAACAGTTTAGGAAATATTTGTAATTTTATCTCACACTGCACGCCTCCACCATTTTTTGTTTTTAATTTAAAAGAAAGTAAACTATCAAAATACATTTTGAATATGGGCTCTTTTCACCTCCACACACTTCCTAAGTCTACGAATGTTATTTATTTGTACACGAAAAAGCATTTCTGGGGTATGTCTAATATTATCACAATAATTAATTAATTCTTTGTAGCAATTCATCCCTTGTCTGTACAAGGATTGCGTACACTAAACATTCCTCACAGGAAGAAGTCTATTGGGTTAAAGTCTGTAGAACGTGGTAGCCATAAAATTGGGCCTCCTCTCCAATCCATTTATTATCAAACACAATGGATAAATAATTTCATACATCAGTATTGAAATTGGGAGGAGCCCCATCGTGCATGAACCGAACGTTTCTTCGGGTATCTAATGGAACATAGTCTAATAGTAGCTGCAAATCATTTTGCAAATACTCCAGATATCAATGTCCATTCAGACGTTTCTCAAAAATGTATAGGTCGATTAAATTATTACCCATTATTCCTGCCTATACATTAATTATGAATCGGTGTTAGTATTTTGTTAAAATAGTACCGTGCGGATTCTCTTCATCCCATAAATTAAGTTATGGAAATTAAGAATACCATTTCTTGTAAATTTTGTATAGGCCCAATTTCAAATGCCGAAGTTAATAGTTTAGGGACTGTGAATAAAAATAACTTTTTAATTTTCACCACAAGTTACGGGGCGTAACTTGTTAACGAAGGTCCGTATAAAAAAAAATATGAAGAACTGATATTATTTTGACCTGATTTTTTGTATTCGACTTTTTTGTATCAAGTACCGGGACACCCTGTACATAATTAACTTCAGTGTCTTTATAGATATACATATATAGTGAGTGATTAAAAAAACCGCTGACAGACTTCTAGAGGAATTACAAGGTGGTTACTTCCAGCACCTACTTTGATATTTTACATTATTTCCAGTTATACAATTGTTATCATTACGTTTTCGCCCTTAAATTTGTTGTTTATTGTTTACGTTATTTCATTCTGACAAAATTAGTTGAAACCTAAATTACTCAAAAACTGTAGCTTTAATCAAAATTTTGCAAGAGACCAATTCGATAGATAATTGAAAACTTTACACGAAAATAGTGTCCGTTTGACAAAATTAGCAGTGACGTAGAAAATATTCTTGAAAAAGGGTTACGTTACCCCACGCTACCCTAGAAGTCTGTCAGCGGTTTTTTTATCACCCTGGGTATGTTCTGAATAAAGTAGTTTGCTTAATTTTTTTATATTTTTCAAAAGCTCTGTAGAATGCAGTAAATATTACTGTATTGTTTTCGAAATGACAAAAGATATATTAAGTAGGTAATTGCCGATGTTTTTGAACATTTTTTTTGCAAGACTTGATCGATTCTTTCAACACTATTATTTTTTACACTTGACATAATAATGTAAACATATCACTCTAGAAAAAAAATTGGTGTTTACTCAAGAACTTCATTACCTTGAAAAGTTATTAAATAATATATTCAGTGAACAGTAAATTTACATAGGTATATTTTTCTGAAATTAATAATAGGGAATAACTATGGAATAATGAAGCTTGGACGAGATCTATATTATGTCTGTAGATTTAAATCTTAATTTTTTTTCCTTCTTTGGTAGATATATTTTCAAGCAGTTTTTTTAATAAATTTTAACTAAAATAATTACATTTTAATAAATAAACAAATATCTTACACTAAGTTGACAGTTATCTAACCACTTGACTAGAAATATATGGAATTTACACTTCACGAGCCTTTAAGGGGCCTCATGCTTTTTAGTTTTTTATTGTTTTAGCAACCTCTATTTTTAGATTAGTCATATTTTTTATAAATGGTGCAATTTCTCGGATTTTAATAACTATTATCAGTCATGGATAACTTAAACACAGATATACTAATGGAAAATAATGCATTTTCAACAATTTTTATAAAACCTCTTAATAATACCTTAACAAAAGTTGTTCATCAAACCGAATGATGTAGGTATCGGGTGTTCCAAAATTCTCAAGATTTAAATTTTGCGCCATTTGTGCGGTAAAACGAAAAAAAAACTGCGTAGCAACTCAGAGTTATGGAGTGCTACAGAAAGTACAAAGCGTTTCCATTGATGAGAAATATTTTAAAAACAGTGAAGGTTTAGCACTTTAGCAGCTACAGTTCACAATTTTCATACAAAATATGGTCGGAATAGTGATCTTATTTCAACAACTGCGAAGAGATTAATTGAAAAATTCAAGGAGACTAGATCAATATTAGTGACCTTAAACATACTGGCCCTACTTCAAGTCGTTTAACATAAAACAAGCAGTTCATGAGGATGTTGCTGAGAGTATAAGAGCATAAATTCGTTATCGTGGTTAAGAATTGCAACATTTCGAGAAGCTCTCTACAGCGTATTCTCTCGAAAGATTTGCATCATCGTGCTTACAAAATTCAATTGACTTAAAAACTGAGGTTTACTGACCACGCAGAGTGAAGAGAGTACGATTAATGGATTACGAACAAGTGGATGCTGATGTTTCGAACAAAATCATCTTTAGCGATGAGACATATTTTCATCTGGATGGCTTGATTGTTGAAAAACAAATACATCCACTATTTGGTACGGATTTTGGGCATCATGGGACCATTCTTCTTCGAAAATGCGGCTGGTCAGGCAATAATAATTAACGGTGCTCTCTATCGCGACATGATAATCCAGTTTTTTGTGCCTAAATTGCAAGATATCGATGTAGGCGACATATGGTTTCAACAAAACGATGCCACATATCATACAGCCCGAGCAACAATGCAGTTACTGCACGAGTCATTTCCTGGTTGTGTAATTTCCCGTTTTGGTGATCGGAATTGGCCGCTCAGATCATGCGATTTAACACCGTTGGATTTTTTTCTTTGGGTTTTTTTTTTAGTCTAAGATATATACCAACATGCCCACGACCACCCACGCCCTGAAAAAGGAAATTGTGCACTGTATCAATGAAATTTAGCCGCATATACGCAAAACAGCAATGGGTAAGTGTGTATGTGCTGTCGAGGCCATTTACCCGACATACTGTTCCAGATATAACCATAAAATTTACAATTTTAATTAAAATCCTGTGTTTACCATCAAAAATCCTTCTTGAGTGAATTTCGGGACACCTTTATTAAAGCATAAATTATATAGAAAAATAAACACTTAAAATTTTAAGGAAAAAAATAATAAAAACAAAATATAAAAGACTTTCCTCCAAAAATGTTTATCGATTTTTAACTAATAAATATTCACATTGAATTACCTAAACGATTTATATTAAGTGTGAAGAGGATACTATAAATGATTTATTGTTGAAACAAAAATAAGTCTAAATCGCCCTTTTACCTTTGCATCATATTAGTATTCTGTCGATAAACTTTAGGAAGACGTTCCTCATAAAACCTAAAAAAAATAGTACCTATTAAAATTGGTCTTAGTCTCGAGTATGTATGAGTCAAATAGTCCTTTTTGTCTCCCCTTCCTTTGGGTTTAACCAATAGTATTAAAATTATTTAGGAGATGCTTCGTTTTTGAGATATACGGTGTTAAAAAAAAATAATATGTTGATGAAAACAATAGAAATATTTAAGTACCTAACATCTAATGTGACTATGTCGTAATGCGACAACGTAGCGACCCTTGCAACACTCCTAAATTTTTTCAGGCGGTTTGTAGTCACTTCATTTAC